GGTGATCATGCCATGGAGAAGAATGAGGCAGAGCAAGGAATGGAGATTGTCTGCGTTTGTGGTAGGGGGAGTGGGGCAGTGGCAGGGAAGGGCTCAGGAGGAGTGACATTTGAATACAAATATGAAGGAGGTAGAGGGAGAGAGTGACTACGGAGCCCCAGGGGCAGGAGCACTGCAAGGAGCCTGGTGTGGTCCTGGGCTAGAAGGAAACCACTCTGGTAGTTTTGAGCAGTGGGGAGCCTAAGAGAGACCACTGTGATGATTCGGGCATTTTTTACTCTGGGGGAAGCAGCGAGCCATTAAAGGTTTCTGAGAGAATGGGGAAATGGGGATATATTTTTATTTTAGATGAAACAGGTCCAAGACCATATTTTAAGCTGAATAAGTCAAGAACCTGGGTAGTGAAAATGCCCAGTGCTCTGCTCTGTCGGACACCAGCCCCACAGAATCGTCTGTTGTCTCTTATGTTATTTTCTTTTTCAATGCCTCCAGATAAATGTGCCCCCCCCTACCTTTTATGGCAATTTTTCCTGAAAAGAAATTGAAGTTGGCAGTGAAATGAAGTGTGCACCTGTAGTCTAAAGAACCGTTGTCCCCTCAGGCAACAGCTAGCTTGTGGTTTCCTTGTGGAACTCACCATAAGGGGCACAACAGCAGCAAACAACTTCAAATACAAACATCTGGGCTAAGCTTTGGATGATTCAAGAACATGCTTGTACAGATTTTCAAATTCGGATAATGAGAAGCTTCACCCTCCTGTAAAGACAACTCTCGAGGTTGCACATGCACCCCCGCCCGGAGAGATGAATTACAAATAGCCTGTCATGCTAAGTGTCCTACTGGTCTCTGTGGTAACTTTACTGACCACTCCCCAAGGTTCACGAGGGGGAGACTGCTCTACAACAGAACAAGCCCCTGGCTTCACGATCTTGCCCCACTTCTTTCTCTTCTGTGACATTAGGGACACAGCAGGAGGCTGTGGAAAGTGGAGGGGACACGGCCTCAGACACCCCTGAATCTGAATCCACACTTCATTGCTTACTATCTGACTTGCGTCAAATTCAAATAAAATCAGGTGATAAAGTCTATACTGCCCAGGGTTTCTGTCAGGATTAAATGATTCAGAACAGATAAAGTATTTAGCACGTTTTCTAACACATCAAAACCCCCTTCACAGGATTTTCTTTTGACCAATACAGGCTAACTGGCTGAGGCTGATGGTAAACATGGCCTCAGTGACTTGGAATCTTGGCCTGGGGACACCCAATGCTGTCTTGATGGGTGGATCTCACTTCAGCACTTAGAAGGACCCGCAATGCTTGTTGCTAGTGTTACTTCCTATGCCCCATCCCAAAGCTCTGTAATCAGTCAAGTCTAAGGCAAGGCTGGAACTTGATGGGGGCCTTGTGACACAGGTGGCATCATCCATCACCCTTCATGACAACCAAACTCGAGATTCCTGGTTTCTATTGTTTTGTTTTGTATTTTTTTGCTCTGCCTCACACTTCCAGCCTCAGCCTCTGGACAGAATCCTCATGGCCCAGAGAAGCATTCTTTTACTATAGGGGCTCCAAATCCATTACAATTTGGACTGAGGATGAAACTTCTGTCCTGGCACTGGTCACTTGCATGACCAACTCATCTAGCGCTTCCTTCTGGTACTGTTCTGCCTTCCTTCACCCGTAATAGGTCATATTAGAAGTCTTTCTGACTAGCTTTCTTTTCTGAGCTACAGACTCTGAGCCTCTTGTTCAGTCTTCCTGAGTTGAACCACTTATCTGTAGTAGGAAATCTTGGGCTGTCATCCATTCATCACTGTCCTCAGTCTTTTGGGTTTTCTAGTGGGTTATGAATCTAGTGCAGAGATATCAATCTTGACTGCACATGAGAATCACCTAGAGAACTTTTTAAAAATTCAGATACCAGATACCCGCGGCCACGGTTGGAAGCTTCCTCCCTCTAGCAGGGGTTACAAAATAGTCTTCTTAGGAACTTACCATGCATACTAGCAATAAAAGTTGTAACTGTAACTGTAACTGTAAAAAGTTACCCTTCCCTAAGTCCTTATTATGTGTAAAGCATGGTATAAAACACTTTATACCTCATTTTCTCCTTGTTTCTTCATTATCATATGTAATCCACATGCTACAGATAATCACCACTTCTATTTAAGGATATTCCACAGTATTCCCACTTGCTAATTTTGAATACAAGCATCCTTCACTATCTGACTCTATTTTACTGTTCCTGAAAGTAAAGGGTCAGTGTGGATAGTGAGGGATAGCTGTATTTAGGGTTCTCTTATCGTATGTCTTTGGTTCATCCTCTAGCCAAATCAGATCTTGAGAAGGGTATTTTCTCTTATAATAGTTTACTGTAAGTAGTGCATACCCATTGTGAAAAATACAGAAAACATATAATGGATTAAAATTACAGCCATCCATTATCTAAATACCAAAGAACAATGCTATTGGTACTTTGGATATTTAACTATAATTATGTTCCTTAACATTTTATCATAAAAACTTCTCCAGAGTGAGTGGCTCCATGCAGCAATGGTATTAGCCTTTTGTCAAGCACAGAATAAAATTCCCGGGAATGCCTCAAATATCAAAATACTAAGTGAGGCTGGGATGGACAAAGGGCTCTGAGCTTGTTCTCTGGGTCCAACAAACAATTGTGTTACTTTGCTGATGTTATGTATTTGAAGCCTATGGCTCACTCATTCACTCGACTGGTGCTGGGGAGTGTCTGCTAAATCCTAGGTACTGATTTAGGTGCCAGGGGGACCCCAAAGGGAACCGGGGTCGCAGTACAAGAGGTGCTTCTTCATTCGCTCCAGGAATCGACACTGAGGATCTCAAGTGGGGTGGGGGTGGAAGGCGGCGAGTTTATGGTGACATTCATTTCATTATGTTCCTTCTGACATATTTAAATGGTGTGAAAACAGCTACTGACTTACATGGCTTTTCTCTCCCTTCCTGTGTATTTTTGGGGTGGGGGCAGTTTTGGGAAGCAAGAGTAACTGCTCTTTCACTTTGTGTGGAAATAGTAAGAAGGAAAGTGGCACCTAGCCCAATGAAGAGTGATTGAGAAGAGCCCGAGTCACTCTCTAAAGTGGCTAAAATTTCGCATTCCCAGTTTTCAGACAAGGGGAAGATAATTCAAAATGTACTGCCCCTAAGTATTTTAGGCCAGGGGTAGAAATAGCTGAACAAAAAGCTTAGCTTACTAAAATTTTGCAACAATGGCCTCACTTGAAGTGCAAGTATAAACAGACCATGGATACTATATACATCCTTTATTTTTAAATATTTCATGTGAACAAGTTTCATTTCATCCGAATTTCTCAGTACCAGTTTAAGAAATATATGCTCCCCCCCAACCAAGAGCCACTATTTTTTTAAAATCAGAAAATAGCTCACTGACAACCAATTAGTCCTCAAAATTTAGTTTAAATAACAGCCTACCTCCTTCAGAAAAATTCTTTTTACTAATCTGAGTTAAGCCTTTCCTCTATTTGATATATTTATTTTCATATCCAGTATTTGTGCATGACCTACTTCTACTCATTTGGAAAAATGTGAATATGAACTCAGTGAAGGTAAGGGTTGTTTACTGCCTAGTAAGGCCCCAAAGCATTAATTTTACAGCTAAGATCAGAATCCATTTTTCTATGAGGTGGGGAGAGGTGAGGAGAGAGCTGGTAGGGAGGAGGAGTGTCTGTTTAGAGATAGACCCTGACAGCTTACATTGAAGGTGGAGGATAAAGCCTGGCAAAGAAACATGGAAGGGCACATGGAAACCCAGAGGTCTCTGCTCTACAAAGACAGGGAAGAAAAAAAAGAGGTTAAATGCTCCGCAAAGAGAATGAACAGGAACCTGGTAACAGGGAAGAGAGAGGAGAAGCTAGGGGAAGGAGGAGAAAAAAAGAGAGGGGGAAAGACAGGCAGCAGAGTCTGGAGCTTACAAAGAAGGGTGATAGGAAAAAAAAAAAATCCGGTTATATATAGCAGGAGGAAAGACTTTTAAAAGATGGGGGGTTTTAATTTCAAAATTAAAGTTGTTTGGGTTTCTGGCTCCATGTCCCAAATGTCAGTAAAGGCTGCCTGTGTGAGTGCTTTTGGAGGTCACTGAGGAGAGAGACCACAACTGGCATTTGGGTTGGCATAAGCAGAAAGTATAGATGTGGGAGGCAACACAGGGGAGACATCAAAAGTTTTGTGAGAACAGAAACTCAGAGCCAGAAATTATCTTGACAAGGTATGTGGGGTAGTCAGAAAAATGGTCCCCCAACAGATATCCACATCCCACTCCCCAGAACATATGAATATGTTATGTTACATGGTTAAGGCAGAATTAAGTTGCAAATCAGCTGACATTAAGAGAGATTTTCCTGGATCGTCCAGGTGGGCCGAATGTAGTCACCAGGGTCAATCAAAGGGGAAGAGAGAGGGAGGGAGAGAGCTAGGGGGATGGGACAACAGAAGTCAGACACACAGCCACACCGCCGGCTTTGAGATGAGAAAAGAAGCCATAAACCATGGAATATGGACAGCTCCTAGAAGCTAGAAAAGGCAAAGAAACAGATTCATCTTAGAGGCTTCTGAAAGGGATCTGGCCCCTGCCAACACCTTGACTTTAGCCCACTGAAACCTGTGTCAGACTTGTGACTTCTAGAACTGTAAGATATTGAATCTGTGTTCTTTTGTGTTTTTTTTTTCTATTGTCGTCCCATTACCATTAGGTTGGTGGTAATCTGTTCGGCAGCAATAAAAAAGGAATATAATAAGCCCCCTGAAAATGTGCAGAAATTGAGACAGCACTGGACTATTCACTTTGATATAGGATAGGGCTTAAGTGAAGATTTAAAAGGACAGTGTGACCTTGGCTAACATGTGACACTCTCATTTCTTAGGGAAAGAAGAGGAAGTCAAAACATTTGTGGTTATTATTTTAGACGATTATCTCTTAAAACATTATGTAATCTTGTGCCTTAGGACCTTTCTTGTTGAAAGCACATGGGTTTGGAGTCCTGGGATCTTGGATTTGAATCCCACAGTAGCCTCTTATGGATAATGAGAACATGGGTAAGTCATTTAACCGCTTTAAGCCACAGAATCTTCATTTGTATAAGGGAGATAAAAATAAAGATTGTCTGAAAGATTAAATGAGAGAGATCTATCAGGCACTTAATACGGTGACTGGCACATACTAGGAACTCAACAAATTACTACTCTTGATTTTTTAAAGCATACTATAAGGGAGGAGAAAGTCATGAGAAGTTGGAGAAATATTTAGTTCACAGCCCCAACAAAGGTCATCTCTCCAAGAACTAGGATCAGTCTGCTACCAACAATGGGCTAATAGGCATAAACTGTAGCAGATGGTGATTTAAGTTAAATATAAAATTTTTTTCTTTGTAACATAATTATTAAACACTGGACATATTTACACCGTTGGTTGGACCATCTTGTCTGGAGACCTTTAATAAATAGAGTTTACTCTATTTTAGAGGGGGGCATGCAGCTGTGTGAACACACAGGCAAATGATTTGGATGGGTGGGTTGTTCTCTCCCCAGTCATAGCCCCAAGATCATACAACTTCATACTCACGGAAGTAACACCTCTTGTATGTTATTCCAGATTGCTTTGCCTCCCATGATTATCGTCAGCTGTGTTGTCAGTTCAAGGAGACAGCCACCTGGGTCACACTGGAATATTACAAAGAAAATCCCATTTAAATTCTAGATGGGTCTAACAGGAAATTGAGTCATTAATTTTACTTTTTGCTGATATTTATTCTGTTGAGGTGAAAATCTCAATATACAGTGAAGAAACTCTTCATTGGGCACCTGGGAGAAAACATGAATCAGGTTAAATTGTCAAGAGAACCCAATTCTAAGTTCGTACCTCTTCATTTCTGTATTTTCCCAGCCAATAGACTGGGTCTCCTGGATAACCTACAAATTTGCCCTTAAAGAATGCGATGTAGAAGCATGAAGAATAGTAGTTGACAAACTGGAATAAGAACATCTTCATGGTCAGGCTGTTCTCATAATCAGTCTGGGTCCTTGGGAGTTCTGTAGTTAAATAAAGGTAAGATTTTAAAATTGTGAACAGCTTTGAGACCCTAATCAAAGACACTGATACATGAGTTAACATGTTTTAAAAAAATACAATTCACACTGTTTCCGTTTAAGCTGTTTTGAATTTCTTAATATAGCTACTATGTTAACTCCAAGTTTACACATTGTTATGAGTCCCCCTCCCCCTTCCGCCAAAAATACAATATCCCATATGGCAAAAATATTCAAGGATTCCTTAAAATTTACGAGCCCAGTGTTACCAAATGGACAAGGCTGTGCTCTCTCAGGTCTAAGTGGACAAAAAAATTATTTGTGAACAGCCTGCTAAATGATACTCTCTTGTCTTCCTGAATTGCAACAAGATAGGACTGTTGAAACAAACAAAACAAGGGAGAACTAGTTATAAGCATTTGGAGAAGACAAAACAGGTCATCCTTCTAGTTTAGAATTTAAATCAGTCTGATCATTTTCAGAAGATGACCACTGAGCAGACCATTCGGACAATGACCCAGGCATATGCAGCATGTGGGGAGCGCTTAACTCTGATCGCTAAGCAGCTGCCTGGGATACAAGCCAGGGAGAGAGAAACATTTATTACAAAAGCGGGAGCTGATGAGAACATAGCTATATTAATATGAACAGCATGGGGGGAAGCCACGCAACAGTGTGATTACTTGTCCTCTCAGCAAAAGAGGAGCATATTTGCCACTGGAACCATGACCCTATTCCACTTATTTGCAATAAAGAGACTATTTACTTTCAACAATAGGGTACGTGATCTAACGTAATTGAAAATATTATTCAGTGCTGATCTGTTTACACAGAGCTTGGACATTATAATGATTGTCTTTGCTTTGTCCCTTTTGCTAATGCAAAGCTGTAGATAATTCATTTCCCACACAGGTTAGATAAAATATGTTTACACTTGAAATTTTCTAAAATTTGTAACATACCGAAATTGAAATGCCTAAAAGAGACAGACTCTCTTTTTCACCAGGTTCTAAAAATGTCTCACAAATGACCTAAGCTATAATAGGACCTTACCAAAATTCGTAATCATGATGGCTACTTTTTCATATATGATGTTCAGAATCATGATGATGACAAAGCTGATGAGGGAAGCTGTGATAGACGTGGCTGTCTGTGGAGTCAGGTACTTCTGGATTGAGTCTGTCCCATTTAAGGTCTCGGGAAGTTTGGTAGAAAACACAATGAACACTGAGAGCCTGTAGACAATGATCCCAATAACAGAAGCAATGATCAACAGGATCTGGAAGCATAATAAACAGCAATATGAGCTTCACGAGTAGTATTTTTACATTTCAAAATGCACCCCTCTGTGTGAATGGACAAGGTGCGTGTGTGAAGTGACGGGGACTCACAGAACTGCCATGAGAAAGGTGGAAGTTGGTCATGTTAAATTTCAAAAAAGGGAAAGGAATGATGGAGGTCAGAAGAGAGTTTATCCACTAAGGGAAAATGTTAACAATGGGAGAAACTGCATAGGGAGGGAAGAATACATGGGAAGCCTGTACTTTCTGTGCAGTTTGGCTGCAAACCCCAACCTGCTCTAAAAAAGATTAAAAAAAAAAAAAAGAAAGTATCTTCAAATGAAGAAAAAGCAGAATAGCAGAACCTGTGAAAACATCTCTCCTACAGTTACGGCATCCTGTAGGGTATGCATTAAAGTTTTTGCTTAGTTATCATCCATTAAGGGGACATATTTCCTTCTAACAGAGAACCTAGCGCTGGTTCAAGGGTCAGTAGGTGCTAGCTTCTGTCTTAGTCACCTGCACGAGGTGAGATTCTGAACAGGACGAGGGAGGCTACAGACGTGCCCGGAGGGAATTTGGAGAGGACAGCAGGTATCGGCTGATGAAAGCTTCACACACTTTTCACCCTTAGATCTTAAGATCTGAAATGGGCAGTGATTCATACCTGCATGTGCACAAGATTCATTTCACTAATCTGCTGTATTTTTGCCGGCACAGACCCATGTCAGTGGGGGGGCGGTGGGGGGGACGCGTCTGAAGCCCAGTTTGTACGTAGGTGGTAGGATGTCACTTCCTCGCTAGGCAGGTTTTCTCCCGCCCCTGAGTAGTGCACACCGAAGGGTACCCTTTTTAAACTGTTTTCCCTACATCTACTTTCTTGGACTTACTCCAGAGCATGCAGTCGATGTGCCCAACTGCTTGTGATGACTGCTACCAGAGAGAAAAGCTACGGAGAATGTGCATTTCAGGGCCAAGCAAATCACGTTGTGTTGTTTACAGCAACAGAGGGAGGCTGGTTTCCACCTGTGGAGATTTCAGGTGGGGCCCCGGAGCCAGGTTCCTGCATTGGAAGCCCAGCTCTGCCTCGAGCTGTAGGACCTTGTGCAAATTATTTAACCTTTGGGGCTTCAATTTCTTTGCCCATATAGTGAGGGATCCTATTGGGAACTAACTTACAAGATTGTTGGGAGGATTTAATGAGTTACTCCAGGTAAAAACACTTAGAACGTTAAGCCCAGGCACATGAAAAGTACTATATAAATGGTAGCTGTGAATATGGTAACTGAAGTGTTAACAAGATGCTTTTCTTACTTTTAAAAGCCATCAGTGTGTAGAGAAGGCATGATATTTCCCCTTCTAATTTCTCTCATTATCTCCTTCCCTTCACAGTTAGGGCTTAATACTTGTGAAAGGAATGACATGTTTGTGTGTGTGAGTACATGTGAAAATTAGCCCAGGCAGAGAAAATATATTCGAGAAGGTATGTCCAGCCTTCCTCTCTGAGCACAACAAATATAGGCCATTTAAATCATACATATTTTTTTAAAAATCTCCATAATAATTTTTTAAATTACTAAGTAATTATAATAGTTGAGATTCTTTAAATGCTTACTCTTCATCTCAGCACACACATATTTTTAAAATCCTCAACATCAGCCCTATGAGATAGGTAGTATAGTATCTTTTACAGCGGAAAAAAGAGCCATGGAGGTTAAGACTTGGACCCAAATTAAGAAACTAGTAACTGAAAGAACTGAGGTACTTGGGAGACTTCAGAGTCTACATGGCACTACCTCCTCCATGGGTCAGGAAATGATTTCTAACTCATTTCAGAGCTTTTACAAACTTAGTATGTTTCCATACTTCTTCGGGGCACTTAGTAGGTTCAGTATTTCTTCCCGGAAGATTTTCATTCTCAACTTCCTTATGAATCTTTTCTGATTATAACTGTAATATATGATCATAAAACATTTGAAATTATTCCATAGTGGACACTAGTTACTTTTGCTGCCTTGGATCTGTTCCCAGTCTTAGAAGAAGACCCAGATTTTGCTTTGGGGGAATAACCTCTCCTTCAAACCAGTCCCCCTGCTCCCCCGGCTTTACAGGTATATCCTGATTGGTTTGAGAAAAACAGGTATCTCATCCTCTTGGCCTCAGCAACTGATTCAAGGACTGACAAATAACTTACTAAGAGCCAGTGGGATGTGAGGAGAGATCTGCTAGTGTCTATGGGAAAGAGAAGTTTGCTCTGTCAATAGAGAAAGCCGCTAACAGAAACCTCTCTTGGCTTGCATGTGATGTGAAATCTGGAATCCTGAGGCCATTTTGAGACCATAAGGTAGTGCCTACAACCACAAAGCCAGGAGATCACTGGACACAGAATGAAGGCAGAACAAAACACACAGCCCATGGTGTCATCTGGGCTGCAGTTATCTATCCTTCATGGAAGCCATACTTCAGACTTGGGATTTTTAGTTACAGGAACCAATAAATGCTACCCACCCTCACTTTGTTGTTGGAGATTTTCCATCACCTACAACTGAACGACTCCTAACTAATAAAAATAAAGAATAAAAAATAAAGAGAAAAAATCTATGTACTATCTATATGTAGGCATAATTCCTTCAGAATTATGCATTGTTTGCATATTAAAGATCATGTTATATATTTTATCCTTTCCTTAAGCCTATCATAACCATAACATTTTTACATGTCATAAAATAT